GTTGTATATTTAGCTAGATCTGAGGTTTCCATTGGAGGGTGTCAAAACTCATGGTATTTCTATATTATTTTGGATTCTACACATCAGTATCAGGAAGGTGAAGGTAATTCGGAAGGAACTCGGAGAATTAGGACAGCTTGGAAGTAGGTTGGATCGGCAAGGTAACGGATATGATCGGTTCTTGGGTGCTTATGATGCACTGGTTTCTACAGGTGTTTCGTGACAATGCTCTTAGGTTTTAATGGCCTGCGTAGCTGGGTTGAGTTAGAGGAATTTAGTTCTGATGATTTGGTCTTGTACAAATGGAATTTGGAGAGTTCTTGATGGTTTCTACCACGGTTAGAGATGTATATTTTTCTACTGGCGTGAGGAGCATGAGATGTATAATGATTTTCTCCTAGATGGGATCAAATGGGAAAAGTTCTTGGCTGGGTGAGTACGTAGTTGCTTATAGCTCGGAGTGGATTATGAAGTTCTCATATTTATCATAGGATGGTATGGTATATGCAGTATGTTGTGTGGGGTTGAGATTTGCATGTGCAAGGTCATAGTCTAGTTTTGAAAGGAAGGTCATAAATTCTTACACAGCTTAGACAGCTTCAGATGACTAGATAAATGAGATCACTGATTGGTGTGGCTTGATAAGGGTATACATTTCAGAAAGGGCGATGTGTTTGAGTTATGGATGCTTTATTGGTATTGCGGCACTATCTTGTCTGATAGACTATTGATATTAAAGGTTTTCTTGGTGACACAGGAGAATTTTTAGAAGTACCCCTTGTGGGATGATCGAGTAGTAGGGATGTGTTAGATATTTGGGTGGTGTAGTTGGTATCAAGGAGTTGGGATCAGATATGGTGATTCCTGTGCTTTATGGATTTGGAGACTAGGAGTTCTCATGAACAGGTTATTTCACGGTTGTGGACTGTAAAGATGTGGGTAAGATAGTCATATGATAGTATGTGCTATGATTCAGTCATTGTGAACCTTCGGAGGGTTATTTATCTGTTGCGGGTGACCAGAGTTGATATATGGTTCATTGGTAGGCCCAACATGGATGTGTGTTCTGCATCGGGTCAAAATTGTTGACTCTGAACTATTATTGTTGAGAGATGTGCCATTTGATTGTTGTTGAGCTTATCCGTGTTCTACAGTGATCTATGAGTTACTCTTCTGTGTTGTGAGGAGTTGTGATTTGTGGGTTATATGCGCATATGGGGCGATTCAATTTGAGCTTTATAGTGAAATTTGAGCGAGATGGATAATTGGGCATTGTATGATTTGTTGTGCATTGGGTATGTTCTTTCGGACTGATATGGCATTGCGTCATTTGCTTCTCCATGGTTATGGTGATTCACTTTTGGGTGCTAGGCACCAAATTGCACGTGGTTGTTGATTTTGAGCATAGTGACTTGAGGCGATTCATGTGGATCAGTGTTTGAATAGGATCGGCATTGCAACGAGGTTATGTGGAGGTATGATCCTTCAGGTTAGATTCGTGTGTTCTGTTTCTATGATGTGTGACGAGTTCTCAGCATTTTGTGTGGTGGTACTGGTGAGCTTGCGGTACAGCTCTCTCATTTGAGTCATTTTTTATAATTTGAGTATGTCCGGATTGTTGCTTATTGGTGTGCGGATTGCACGAGTTGTGGCCTTGGATGGTATTGATGTGTCATGTCATCAGAGAAGTTGTGTTTGATTAGATGAGATTGTTGAGATCTAGAATGAATACAAACGGATTCAGTGTCAGCGTCTTGGAGGGATAATATCTATGTTCGGCTTAGAAATTTGCTATGGTCCTTGCTAAAGGAGAAGTGGCTTCACGAATGGTTGATTGGAGGAGTGGTTATGACTTCCTATGTGTTTGATTTATCATTGTCAGTATATAGAAGTGTTGGAATGAGGCTTTATTTGATGAGAGGTTTATTATCGATATTCGGTTGTTTGGAGCAACTACTGTAATTAGAAGTTATCGTTACGGGTTTTTGAGTTATGTGGTATATCATGTAATTGTATTTGAGGTTGTAGGTACGGTTCATCACAGTTGATCCGAACTTATTCAGTGTATAGATTGGGGATTCTGATCTTAAAGATGATTTCGGAAATGGAAATGTGGTTCTAAGGTTTATGGGCTAGGATGGATTATGAAATTTCAGTTACATTGTATTATCGGACCTATATGAGATAGGGTGATGTGAGATAGGGTATGTGCAGGGTAAGGTTTCACAGCGATTTGATGGTTTTCGGAACAACTCTGGGCACGTTCGAGGACGAACGTATGTTTAAGTAGGGGAGGATGTAACGATCTGACCGGTCGTTTTGAGCTTTTGCGGTTTGCTCGTTAGTTCTCGGGCATGACTAGCCCCGTGTGATGTATTATTACTTACGTAAATCATCGGTTTTGGTTTTCAGGGTAATCGGAATGGAATTCGAAGGACACTTCTCCGTTTGAAGCTTAAAATTTGAAAGGTTTGATCAAGTTTTGACTTGTTAGTATATGATCTTGGATTTGAATTTTTATGATTTGGTTAGCTCCATTAGGTGATTCGGGACATAGGAGCATGATCGGAATGTATTTTGGAGGTCCGTGGAATATTTAGACTTGAATTGGCAAAATGGAAATTTTGGCATTTTCCGGTTGATAAGTGATATTTTGGTATAGGGGTCACAATGAAATTCTGGAAATTGAAGTAGGTCCGTTGTATCCTTTGTGACGTGTGTGCAAATTTTTAGGTCATTTGGACGAGGTTTGATAGACTTTTTGATCGAAAGCGGAATTTGGAAGTTTTTAGAATTCTTAGGCTTGAATCCAATGTAAATTTGGTGTTTTAATGTGTTTTGAGCGTACCAAAGGTTGGAACAGGTTTGAATGATGTTATGGGATATTTTCGCATGTTTGGTTGAGGTCCCGAGGGCCTCGAGTGAGTTTTGGGTGGTTAATCGGATCAAATTCTTGTTTTGAAAGCTGCAGATTTCTTCAGATCAGTGTTGCAGAGTTTTGCTCTCTGCGTTCGCGAGGGGGCCCTCGCGTTCGTGAAGAGATATTGAGTGTGGCAGGCCAGTTACCCTTCGCGTTTGCGATGTTGGTCCCACGTTGACGAAGGTTAGGTCTAATTGTGCATCGCGAACACGTGGCATGGTTCGCGTTCGCATAGAAGGGTGAAGCAGACTTGGACCCCAGGCCCTGGTGCTATGCGTTCGCGAGGTTAGTGTCGCGTTCGCGAAAGGGCTGGACTGGCGAAGCATCGCATTCGCGTGGCTGCATTCGCGTTCGCGATCTCGAAGGGTATTGTGGAGAGGCAAAGTAATTTGTGCTACACGAATGCGAGAGTGAGGCCACGTTCGCGATGAAGGAGAAATCTCGGCAGAATGTTTAAGTTTAAAATCGAGGGTTTAAGTCCAATATCACAAAAATCATTGGAAAACTCGGGAGAAGGTGAAATTTGAGGAGAGTTTAAGTGGAGCTATTGGGGTAAATATTCTTCACTCATATTTGGTTTAATTCCATGATTTGGTCTTGAATTTCATCATTTAATTTGAGAAATTAGAGTGGAAATTACGGAAAAATGGAAGAAAAGTTTGAAAATTCTTTTGGGGATTTGAATGGGCATTTGATGTCCGATTTTGATGTTCTTGGTATGTATGAACTCATGAGAGGATAAGGATTTTATTAATGTGATTTTTATCAGATTCCGAGACGTGGACCCGGGGGTCGGATTTGGCCAATTTCGGGATTTTTGGTATAAATTGGATATTTTCAAATGGGCTTCATTCCCTTAGCTTATTTTGATGGTATGAATCTGCTTTTGGCTAGATTTGGAGTATTCGTAGGCTGAGTCAAGAAGCGAAGGCATCGTGGGCTAGAGTTTGGACCGGATCAGGGTAAGTAATGATTGTAAATGTTGTCCTGAGGGTATGAAACCATGGATTTCACATCGTTGTGCTACATTAAAGTGACGCACACGCTAGATGACGAGCGTGGAGTCATGCACCATTGGGAATTTTGAATTGGTTCGTCTCGTATGACTGTTAAGTCGCGTATTTGATTGAAAAACTATTTGATATCATCGTGTTTCGAAAAGTATTGCTATGTTTTGGGCGGAATGCCATATTTGAGCCTCGTGCCAACTGTTTTGGACCATTATGGGACTTTTACTACTTTCTCTCTGACTTAATAATTGTACTCAGTCATGTTGTATTTTAGTAATTTCTTAACTCAGCCTTATTTACTCAATTTTTACACTATAAATGATATTTGAGTTGAACGCCCTGTTTTACTGATAGTCCGAGTGACTTGTGAGGTTGATAGCTGAGAGAGGCTGAAGGCCTGATTGTGAGGTTAATGACTGAGATAGACCGAGCGTCTGATTGTGAGGTTAATAACTGAGAGAGGCCAAGGGCCTGATTGTGAGGATTATATATTTATGGATAGGGTTGCACACCACAGCAATTTATATATATGGATCGGTCTGCACGCCGCAGCGATATGTTAAATCGAGTTGCACGCTGCAGCGATATAGCGCTTGGGCTGTAGGAGCCCCTCCGGAGTCTGCACACCCCAGTGAGCACAATCGACTATATATATGGATCGAGCTGCACGTCGCAGCGATATATGGATCGGGTTGTACGCCGTAGCGTCTATTATATGGCACCTATTGAGTGTGAGCGCTGACTGATACGGGTTGAGTCATGAGTGACTGAGAGGATTATTCGAGGGGCTATATATATATATATATATATATGCATGTATGTATGTATGTATACGAGTGATGTTATGCCCGAGGGATATTTACTGATGTTGGAAAGATATTTTCTAAAGGATGTTTACTGAAGTTGGAAATTTAACGAAATGATTTGATTTGTATCCTGTTTTGGAAACATGTGGTACCCACTGTGGTGCTATTACATAGTTTACGTGATTTCTTACTACTCAGTCTTCCTTTACTTTTATTACTTACTGAGTTGGCGTACTCACATTACTCCCTGCACCTTGTGTGCAGATTCAGGTATTTCTGAGCTCGGTGGCAGGTTCATCGGAGTTAGCAAGGTATGCTGCCTGGCGATCGCAGCCCTGCTTTTCTCCCTCCTTATTCTTCCTTAAATGTATTCTTGTAATTTTCTCAACCATATTGGTCTTGATGTTGTTTTACAGTGTAGTAGATGCTCATGACTAGTGACACCCCGATGTCGGGCTTGTGTATTTATTCTGCACTATTCATTTAAACTTATATCATAAGATTATTGATTAATAAATGGTATAAAAAATAACTTTTATTGAATAATGGTTGATTCAGGAGTTGTGTCGGCTGGACTAGTTTCACGATATGCGCCATCACGATGGGGTCGGTTTTAGGGTCATGACACCCACGTCTCGGAAAGCTGACAAAAATTATAAAACTAAAAAGCCCTTTTACTCACGAGTCCATACATACAAAATTTATCAAAATCCGACTTCATTTGACCCTTCAAAACCTCAATCAAACTCTCCAAAAATCCCAAGCCCTAACCCCTCATTTTCACGCCTAATCTTCACTAATTACATGATTAAACAATGAAAAATTACCATAAACACAAGTATTAGGGCTCAAATCACTTACCTTACTGATAAACCCTTGAATTCCTCCTCAAAATCGTTCTCAAAAGCTCTAATGCCGGCTAAAAATTATGGAAAATAAACCAAAATTTGCGAAGTCTAATATATATACTTTCTGCCCAGGACATCCGCATTTGCGGTCAATATGTCGCTTTTGCGACGCCGCACCTGCGAAAAATCCATCACAGGTGTGGTTCTCACTTATGCCCTCAAAACCCGTTTCTGTTGTCGAACTCTCGCACATATGGCCTCGCAGGTGCGCTCTAGCACTCGCACCTACGGCTCCCAGCCAACCTCAGCCTTGGCCGCATTTGCGACCCCTTTCTCCGCTTTTGCGGGCTCGCACCTGCGGTCCCCACTCCGCAGGTGTGGTTATGACAGCTGAGTTCAATCTTCAACATTCCTTAAATTCCAACCTTGTTCCGTCAATCACCCGAAATCAGCTCGAGGCCCTCGGGACCTCTACCAAATATACCAACAAGTCATATATCAACATACAAACTTAATTGAACCTTCGGAACAATGAAAACAACATCAAAACACCAAATCACTTTCGGATTCAAGCTTAAGAACTTCTAAACTTCTAATTTCCACAAATGACGCTGAAACATATGAAATCACCTCCAAATGACCTGAAATTTTCCACACGCGTCACAAATGACAATACGAACTTACTCCAACTTCCAGAATTCCATTCTGACCCTGATATCAGATTTTCCAATGCCGACCAAAATCGCCAAATTTCTAACTTATGCCAATTCAAGCCCAATTCTACCACAGACCTAAAAATCACATTCCGGACGTACTCCTAAGTCCAAAATCACCTAATAGAGCTGGCGAAACCATCAGAATTTATATCCGAGATCGTTTACACATAAATCAATATCCGGTCAACTTTCTAAACTTAAGCCTTCCCAAAAGAGACTAAGTGTCTCAAATACTCTCTGAATTCACTCCAGACCCTAATGAACTAACTCAACGTATCATAGTATAGCTAAAGAACACAAAAGGAAGCAGAAATTGAGAAACGGGGCTATAACTCTTGAAACGACCAGCCGGGTCGTTATAGTTAAAAGTATTGTGGTACTTGTAAGAGACATGAGTCACTTTATCCATATGTATCTTACCTGTCCCTTTACCAACATTAAAACAGTATTAAGCCATACATGATCTCAACCCAAAGACTTCCATATCAGTGGAAAACTACATGATAGTCAAGCTTATGAAAATTTTCAGTAGCTTGAGATACTTCTTTGTTGAGAGTGAGCGAGTTTTTCAATATCTTTCTTTATTTTGTAATAATATTTTGTGATTTATGAGCATCTCTCTTCATTTGGTGAGACACACTTGGTATTATAATGTATTATAATTTAGGTTCACAGTAAGTGAACATGAGTACAGTTAAAGATTATTTTAACTCGTGGCTTGATCTTCGTTTATATTCTTGTTTGCCGAAAGTTCACATAATATTACTTTAAAATTTTAGCCATTATTTTATTTTGGGCACTTTGCTCGAGGATGAGCAAACATTCAAGTATGGGGTATTTGATAAGTACATATTATGTATGTTTTTAGGTATATATTATATTAAATACAAATACTTTATTTATAGATATGATTTTTATTCAGTATTTGTACAAATTATTAATAAATATTGCAGGAAAAGAAAAGAAAAAAAAAAGAAGAAAGAAGAGTGTTCAAGCAAAGACAACAAAAAGGCCAAGGATGGCATCCCCGATCCAAGAATGTCATCATCAATTCTAAGGATGTCATACGTGGAAAGAGGCACCTGGAAAAATTGATTCAAGAGCTAGGATGTCATCCCCAATCCAAGGATGACATCCCTGAGAATTTTGAGGACATAATTTTCTATAAGTAGACATGACTTTTCAGTAGAAGGGAGGAACCATTCTTGTGCAGAGAACTCCAACTTTAATTTTGGCGTTGTTTTAGTTTTAAAAGTTATTTTTTTATTGTAGGAATATTATTTTTCTCTTTTATCTTTTCTCCATAATGGAGTAATTTTCTTTGGTTGGGATATTAGATGAATCTATAAAAGTGTTATAATAGTTATCTTAATGTTATTATCTTCTTATGTTGGGATTTTCTCTTTATCATCTTTATACACCAAGGTATTTGATATTGATTATATCAATTATTTGATATAATTATATACACTTACCAAAATCTTTATCTTGTTATTTTGTTTCTTATTCGGGAGAAGAGAAATATTTAAACAAATTAATTGATTTAGAAAAAGCTAATCAAAAGATGCTTTTTCTCACTTGGTGTACTCCACTAAGATAATTCTTGTTTGAAGCCATTACTTTAATTGGTTAACTACACTAATCGAAAGAGTGTTATTAGTCAGTTATTGTTTAATGTCACTAACTATCAATAAATTGATAACACTAAGTGCGAGCGGTACTATTTATATATTGTTGTTATATAGAATGATTTTCTTAGAAATAAGTGGTCATTATTTAAACAACGTCTCTATTTAACTGTTAATCAATTAACAACACTAATCGAAAGAGGTGTTATTAATTGGATACTTGTATGTGATTTGGTTAAATTAGAAATAAGCGATCATTTCATTAAACAGAGAAATAAATAGTAAAATTTTGATTTTATTATAATATTTTTGTCTTACTGATTCGCGATATCCCAACCTCAATTTTTATTATAAAACTATAAATATTTATTGCTTTTATTTTACTAGTTTTTTCAACAACTCTCTTTTTACCAATTTGATTCTCTCAAATAGTGATAGAGACAATACAAATCTGAAGCCTAGGTGATTCCAATCTTTGTGAGACGATATCTTAAACTTTACTATAATTTGATAGAGTACGAGCAAAAAAATCATATACAATCAGAGCTCGTCACTTCATAAGAGAGGGCCTTTATGTTTACGGTGCTTATGAAGAGGACGTCTCATGTTCATCCGGAAACAATTATTTAGATTTGTAATCCATTTCTTGCTTCTAAGTATGAACAAATACTAAGAATGATTTTTTTCATTCAAACATATACGAGAATATTTTTAAAAAGTATAAGTTTTGTTTCATTTCATACATACACAAGTGTTTGTAACTTTGCATATACGATAGTTTATAGGAAATGAACAAAAATAACTTGCAAGTGTCACGACCCAACTCCACGTTAGGATGTGATGGCGTCCAGCACCTTTGCTAGACAAGCCAATAGTGAACAACTTGGTGATTTCCCATCTTTATTAAGTGATTCCAGCAAAGAACTTTCTTTAAATTTAAAACATTCGATAAATAACTGACTTTTAAAGCAATCCAATCGGAAACAAACTAAAGGAAATCATAACTGTAGAAATACAACCCAAACCTCAAAGTCTACTAATATGTGCCAAGATCTAGTGTCACAAGTGTGCAGGCAACTAGTAGAATATACAAAAGAGGATGATTGTCCTACTGTCTGAGATAGAATAGAAAGATACAAGCAAAAGAGAAACTCTGACATGCTACTGAACGGCTCGGAAGGGGGCAGCTCACTGTGAAGTCTCGAACCACGATCAAGTATGTGCGCTAGGCGGGTAACTAGAAGCACCCGCCTCAAATCTTGTACAATTAAGTATAGAAGCGTAGTATGATTACATAAACAATATGTACCCAGTAAGTATCCAGTCTAACCTCGAAGAAGTAGTGACAAGGGATCGACTTAGACACTTACTATAGGCTAACAATAATATAATTAAAGTGTTATGCTAAGCATAGATATCATGAACAATACTGAAAGCTCATTAACAGAAAGTGATAAATTCTTCTTTCACAAATATATTTTCAATTTAAGTCATCTCATTTAACATCTCACATTTTAATACATTCGCGCAGTATAAAACATGGAGAGTTTTAAATAATCAACATGCGCAAATTATGTCGAGGTCGTACGGTCTGGTCCAACATAATATTAAACTGTGCACTGCCGGAGAGTCGAATGACGTGAACCATAGATGCATCTATTTACTACCGAGGCGCTCGGCCCGATCCACAAATAATAATTTATTTTTAAGAAAGCACAAATTTCTCATTTACAGTCAAGTATCTCATACGAATCCTCAAGTAAGTGAGTATGACCTTCCATAATTATTTTATCAATTTCCAACATGACTTAAGTGATTATAATAGCAAGTAAGGACGCAAGCATTTCAAATGTAGTATGATATGGGTCCTAACTACCCGGACAATAGCATAATAGTAGCTACGTACGGACTTTCGTCACCACGTACATATGTAGCCGTATTTATTTAATTTACCTATGGGGTTAATTCCCTCTTACAAGGTTAGAAATGAGACGTACCTCATCTCGAAACCTACTTCCCAAATCAAGAATGCGCTCAAACCTCCAAATTTGATGCCAAACGACTTGAAACTAGTCAAACTTTACATAAATTAATCAATCTATGCTCAAAAGTTTATTTTCCACTATTAAAGTGATTACCCAACCCACATTGCAAGATTCCTAAAATTCACCCCCGGGCCCACATGCTCGGATTTCGAAAATTTTTGAAGAAAGTTGTTACCCATAAAGTTAGGAACATAATATATAATTTTTACTAAGTTTCATAACAAATTTCGTGGTCAAATCTTGTTTTTATCAAAAACCTAGATTTTCCTCTAAACCCTTGATTTTCACTAATTTTTACATG